AAATTAAGAAGTTACACAATATAATTCCAAGATCGTCACTATGTGACAAATGTGATAAAGAGAAATTCCACTATGCTTGTAAAATCCTCAAGGTAGAATGTGTGCCTTGATGTTTATAAATTTTCCTATGATCAAACATTACATATCAAAATGCTTCCTTCCTTCTCCATCAACAGTCATATTGTCTTGACATCTTCTTATAATTTATTTAATATTAATATTAATAATGATGATTATATGAAAAGCCAAATGATACAAATTGTTTATCATGATAAGAATCCTATAAGTACCCAGTTCTGTTCTACATTTTGTTTATAATATATTTTATATAAAATAAAAAAAAAGAATATCAATAAAAAAAATTGTACCTTTCACTATCAATAAAAACACACATGTCTTTAGAACCAACAATATCATGTCAAACAACATTCACGTTTGTCATCTTGGACTTTTCCAAAATAATAAAAAAAATTTTTTTTTGAACGCGTCAACAATAGGGTTGTGCAATGTGATCATAAATAATTAAATTAGTTGTGACGCGTTTATTATTATTTTTTCAGAAAAATGCATTGTCAGGATCAAAAGAAAAGTCACAAAATCAACCTTGTCAAAAAAAGAAGGTAAGTGTTATTTTTAAAGAAATGGTGGTGTTTATCATGACTTGTTATTCTATAGTTATTTATAAACTTTTCTTGCTATTTAGTGTAGTATATGTTAGTGATACTGACAGTAATTGTACAGGTGAATATAATGCAGATACCTCCGATACTCTATCTGATAATTCCGATACTACTATAATATTGTCAACAACAACAAGAAGAACTGACATTATATCAAATTTTCCACTAGAATTGTGTTGGCATATAATGGGATATTTGGATTTATTTAATATATGTCAAGCAGCCCAAGTTAGCAAAAGGTGGAGATGCATTGTAGATAGTGATAGATTGATGTGGAAATCGCTTTTGTTGTCAGATGGCTTCGATCTTGAAATACATGCCGTGTCAGAAAATTGGCACATTCCATATTTATTAATATCACCATATTATAATAATAAACTAGCACTTCCACCAATACAAAATAATCCATTTAAGGAAATACAGTGAACCCTCTATAAGTGCACCCCCTCGGGAACATAGTGCTATTTCTTGTGAGCGTGCATTTATGGAGGGT